GTGATATTATTATTAATATTATCAGGCAACCCAAACCTGTTTCTTGATCTGAAACAATATCACTCATTAGAACATGTAGAAACTAAGAAATGTATTTTTCTATCCAGATACATATTTTGTTAAGGAAAATTAATGGTCTTGTTTCTATAACTTTCAATTTGGAGCAAAAATCTGGCTTTAAACTTGAAAGAAATAAAGATTTAACATTTATCGTGATAATTATCGATATCAACTGATATGAAATTGAATTTTTGGCCATATCACCCAGCCGTAATCTGAATAAATCCAATCCAATTTTGGATTCTGTAAATTCTGCTAATGATGTGTGGTGTCATTTCTTTAATGTTAAAATCCTCTTGGTTTTCCATTTGCTAATCAATGCAGTAAATCAGGACGAATGACGTAGAAGTGAAGTGCAGTTGCCTCAGGATGTGCTTACATTTTCTATTTTGCAACCAGCCGCAAACAAGCGACCAGCATTTACACTTGGAAGGAAGCATTTCACCTGAGGCATTTTAAATTCTGGTGAAAGCCCAAAACCTTTTTTTTCCTAAAAGGCTGCTTTGTTCTAAAAGCGCTTCTTTTCACTGTAAAAGTGACATTTCATGTTTCCTTTTTTCCGCTATCACAGAACATATCATATGCCAGGAAAGCCATCTGGGCAGATGCTATAGGGATGAGTTGAGGTGTTGTATTTAACTGAAATGGATCTCTCCCTTTTTTTGGTCTGTTTATTGGTCTGCAATAACATTTTACAGATCCCTTCTTTCATTAGTTTGCCACAATTTTATGTCCATTCAGACTTTCGAGAGTAATCACATTTATTTGCATTCTGCCTCACATGAGAAATGAGGAGCAAGTTGAAAGATCTCTTCTTGGCAGCGACGATGTCCACCTCCAGCCAACACAAATGTGACTGTCAAAGCATAATGCATTCAGCAGTAATTACAGAGATATAACGTTCCTGCCCTATTCTGTTTAAAATATACATGTAAAAGAGAAGCATTGTTGTGCCATTGTGTTGTGCACAAAAGATGGCATTACATATGTTGCAAAATGTATTTAGCTTAGCGTCATGCAAATGATTTTAACAGCTGCTTTTCCTAAAGGTTTGTGCCAGAGTTTTTTCCCTCAGTGTATGTTTTTACCCCCTTTTTTTACCCTTTCACAATTAAATTTTTTTTTAATTAGTGTTTCATTCATAGACCTAATTTTCCAGAAAACATGTAGTCTATTTTTAAAATGAGTGTGTCTGGCACTGAAGTGACTTTTTCAAGCAAACAGCTGTTTTTTGGCACAATTCATGATGTTAACATTTTAACTATATTTAGGAGAGGACTCTGACAGGCTTTGATCTGTTCTTTCTGCACAAGTCTTTCTTGTTCCTCTCTGAGGGCTTCAGAGGGCATCCTGGTGTGTCCTTCAGCACAGTGAAAGAGAATGCTAATCTTCTCTTTGTTTCTGATGGAAAGCTACTTATCTCTCCTCCACACAGGTAGCTGCTATGAATGAGATTCTTGTCTGTATGTAAAGGAACACACCCCTAATCCAACCTGTTTGCTCCCAGTAATGCGTGGGGCACTGTGTGAATAGCTCCGAAAAAGGTCCATCTTTTAACATTTTAATCTGACATTTTCACAACCCTCTAATCCAACTTTCGTCTTTTTCTCTATAACTGTTACAGTTCCCCATCTCAGTCTAGAAGTTGTAGGAGAAATGCAAAGGCTACAGGGCCAAAACCAGACCCCATCTTAGTTGCTTTCTTGCTGCCTTTTGATTCTTCCCCTTTCCTTTGTACCCTCGGCCTGTTTCCTGTAGTTGGGTAGATTTCTAGCCGTTTTAGGGGGAAAGATTAAAATGCTTGCCACACAAGGGCTGACAGCATGGAAACAGGCTTTCTGTGAGTTTGAAAGGCTTTAGTTTCTCTCAGAGTGCTTTCATCAGGGGTGGAAATAATAGTATCTATTGATAATTATTTTCATAGCCAGAAAGTGCACTATTCAAGAGTAAAAATTTAATGCTAATCTCGTTTGTTTACTTTTTTACAGCATGAAGCAGAGAACAGTTTCAATATAATTCATGTAATATCATTTTTATGACTCGCATAGATGTCAACGGATAATCTGTATTTCGAACCCTTTCCAAGTGTGATCACATACTAGCATGCTGCTCGCTATATAATGCAGAAATGTTATTTGTGTACTGTGCACAGTATGAAAATGTTCTATATGAAATATGCAGATGACCTACTACATTTGCCAAAATGTGCAGTATACAACAGAGCACGCTGCATGAAATACTGTATCCCACAATGCAATGACCTTGACTTGACCTTCCGTTACCAGTGTGAAGGAATTTAATTAGATGTATTTAATCAAATAACTCGTTATTTGATTTAAATGTCAAACATTTAGACTTTTTTTGCACTCAAAATTAGATTTTGTTTTTGCTATTTATGGTATGTTAAAACATTTAGGTATGTTAATGTTTTATTTCTTAGATGTTATCAGGATGTCACTCATATGCGATAAGATGAGGTAATGTGACAATAAGGTGGCATAATACTTGAAACATTCACAGTTAAATAATATAGATACTATTTCACTTACTATTACAGAAGTCCTACTTATTATGGAAATTAGGGCTGGGTAAAAAATATTGATATCTCGATTTTAATCGATTCTCATTTTTATGGAACGATATCGATTCTTAAATCCCAAGCATCGATTATTCTACCTTAGTTTTCAGTTAATGGACGGAACATTGAAGGGCACCTCCCATCCAATAAATCGCAATAAGCATTGTGCTTTGGTACTTTTAATATGAAACAAAGTCTCAGATTTCAAATTCTGTCCATTGTATTGCAGTATTCAAACAATAAATGCAGTTTTGGTGCTGTTTAATGTGGAGTGACAGATCGCTGTAGCGCCTCAGATCAACAGCGCGTAGCGCACGTGAACTAATCATTTCCTCCACATTAATACCAGTTTCAGCACAAAATACTCATGACTAAACAACCGAAGGTAAGTTAAAAGAAAGAGTACAACTTTACAGTCCGTATCCTGTCTCATGTAATCGCTCAATCAGTGTTTCAGCCATGCAAAAACGCCAATATAACGGCTTGTAAACAATGTCACGTAACGTCACATTTACCTCAGAAAAAAAACTTTTTCGGTAACCATAAACTCATTAATCAGCTAGAAAAATAAACTGTAGAGGGGGCATTTTGCTAAATGTATGCACCATATAACACATACATTATAATTGTTTACTGTTTTTCAATGTTTAATTTATGTTTGAATAAATCCATCAAGTTTCTATGACAGCCACCATTTAAATGTTTATATAAAGAAAAAAAAAATTGAAGTAGAAATATTATTAAGTAATTGTAACTTTATTATTTTAAAAACTTCATTAAGTGTAATTTTAGCAGTTGTACTACAAATCAGTCAATTTTTTACCCTTAAATATTATAGTAATGTAGTACCAACTGACTCTCATGCATATTTTACAGCATTAGTTGAAAGATTTTTTTTTTCCTTGAGAAAATTTGGCATGTACTGTACCTGATATGTATCTAAAATAATCAATATTGAATTTAATCTAACCGAATTGGTAATCTAATCGCAAGCTTGTGAATGAGAATCGAATCGTCAAAACCCAGCCCTAATGGAAATAATACACTTTAAAATAATATACTTGCTAACTGCGACACGAAACTGCACTAAACTACTGTTCCATTCTGAACATAGCCTGAGATCAGAAAATAATATACTGAGGTCTAAAAAGAGCAGTACAGAGGTTTATAGGAAATTCATTGAAAGAAAGCCAACAAGAGAAAACAACTGACAGCACAAGACCAAGAGAAAAACCAGCACTTGGTTTAGGAAAGCCTGTGATTAGGACATTTCCTCACTCTCCCTAGAGGGAGAACTGTTAGAGAATTTTGTAGTCAAAACGCTAATTTTAGACAAGTCAGCAGTCTGTGCAGTTCAGCTGGACATTGTCTTGAATTTTACCCCTGGGTTGCTATTATATCTCTCGAATAAGTCTTTAAAAAGGAGGAGGGATTCGTTCCTGCAAAGGCCAAAAATCGTATTAAAGCTGATTTTGAGGAAATCAGTATCTAAACCCTTCAGAAGTCTCGTTACAAATGTCTAGACATGCTTTTTGTGTGACTGGCTTGTGCAGAATACATGTTAGAGATTGAGATATTATAGTGGCAAAGTCTTCCTGCATTATCAGTGCTGTGTAAGAAACGCTGAGAGACTTGTTTTTTTCCCTTTAGCTGAACCAGAGGGCTTGACCACTGAAAGGTAAATTACAGACGCTGGCACCCGCCACCTGCTAAAGACTCTGGGAGGACTGTCAGGCTGTTTTAATCTCTTTCTCTGTTGTTCTGTTTAACCTCAACCTGTGTTTCTAAGGGGCCCACTAATTTCTTTGTGCAGTAAATGAGGCTGCTGTTGCCTGCTCTGCGTGCCCATGTCAACAAGCACATCCCATTAGCTCACCTTCATGCTATAGGCAGCTCGAATAAAGCCTGTGCTCACCAAGTCCTTCAGCTAACTTTTTAAACCTGCCTGAGCTACTGTTTTTCCTTTCCGTTTCACAATTTAGCAGTCAAGCGGTGATGTTGGCAGGACATGTTTTCAATTCAGAGCCGAAATGGGCAGTTAAGTGGAGGATATCGTCTCAATGTCAGTTTCATAGATTGGTTACCATGCTCTCAAGAGTGGCACACGTGGTCATGTAGCGCTAATTCAGTCATGATTACATGCTAGCAGACATTATGCAGCATGGCAGAAGGAGGCATAATTGGGCAAGCCTCATCTTTTTCTCCCACAGATAATAAGCTGTCAGGAAGGGGAAAACAAAGCTATTATTTGTCTCCGCAGTGGCGGGTTACTGCGTTATCACAATGGTAGTGTGTTTTTTTGACTAGTCAGTGACAGTATTTGCACGTCTGTGTTGGGAGGGCAGGAATTTGGGCCCCAGAAATGGCTGTGTTTGTGCATGTCACTCATAGTAAAACCAGAAAGGTGGAGTGGAGACAGGTTCTCAGGCGGGCCCCTGTGTCAGCGCTACATTTGATTTGAGGCCTAATTTGCTGGTTGGTTGCTTGTGTAAACAACTCAGGGATACTTGGGCTTCTCAGACGCCGCGATAAACAAATCCTGATCACATGGATGTAAAAATAAACCGACCCTGCTTAAGAGACGTAAAATGCCAGTCGAGTCGGCAGTCGAGAGTCCTCCTGTTTTGGTGATTTGTGATGGCGCTAATCTTAGTGTGTTCACGAGAGAGCCATTGAGTGCCCACAGACAGGTTTTGAGCTCTCTAGCTCAGGTGGGATCTTTTCCCTGTACAGATTGGCTCAGAGTGGAATTGAAAATCAGTAGTGTTGTGTCCCTGGTAATAATCATTCAAATGCATAGCTGTGAACAAAGTAATATTTATCCAGGGGATGCGGGCGTGGTTGGGGTTTAAGAAAAATCATGTGGGCCCAATTCCCTCTTTAGGCTGAAGGGGGTTTTAAGCAAACAGCTGCTAAGTGTGGATTAGTGGCTCTCAGCAGTGCCGACCAAAAGGCCAAACCGAAAATAGCTTATTTCTCTTTGCTTACTGATGTGAACCAGGAACATACCTCAGCCTGTGGAATCACCCCAGACTTGTTCTCTCTGCAGTTTTTTTTTCTTTTTCCCTTTTTGGAAGGTTAATTAACACCAAAGTTTTTAGTGATGAATTATAAAGTCATGAAAAACTGAATAAAGGGGAAACATAATTTTATTAGGTATTTAATGTTGTCTAATTACAATGCAAATAGTAATACATGATGATGGTGCTTCATTGGCAATTCCACATATGAAATACAGTGTGGGAGTAAATGACTCGTTGTCATTGGAACGTGTGAGGGTGATTCTTGTGCATAGCCTAAAGCGATCTGGCCCTAATTTCTGCTTTGTCTCTGATCCCTGGCTGCCTGTGGGATGTCCTTTTTTCCCCTCATAAAAGGTGAAATACTGAAATAATCCATTTAAGTTTCCTATTTTCCACAGTAACCTTGCCTCTAGGACATTTCTAGAGGTGGTTTGACGGCAGGCAAGCTAGTCCTTTTGGGGTGATCAGGAATATTAGGCGCCTGGTTGATGCAACATACGAGTGACTCCGTATGTGTTGTTAATGACCCAGCAGAAAATGATAGTGCTCAGAGATGGATCCTTTTATATTTCTTAATTATTTATTTATTTTTATCTATTTATCGACTTTTGTCTTAAAACATCTTAGGCAGAAAGAAAAGAATAATATGAGAAAATTATTGACAAAATTCCTGCTATAATGTTCAATTATATTTAGCTTTATTTTATTTTAATTTCAGTTTTTTTATTTTTTTATTTTAGTACTTCAACTTAAACTTATTCCAGGTAGATTTCTAAGGCAACCTTTCTAATTTCAGTTTTCGAAGTTTAAGCTTTTTTATTTTATTTTATTTTATTCAAGTACAAATAATATTCTCAGTTTTAGTTTTAGTTAACTATAACAACACTGGCTATAAATATAAAACTCATATGGTTAGCATATCTCAGATAATTTGCTCCTGAGAGAATTGAATTAGAATTGTTTGAGTTCATATTAAAATCTCTTTTAATTGCATATGTTGAGATCTCTTCTAAAACCCTAGAGGAGATACATACAGTACAATGGTCTGAGAATCTGAGAAGCTGAAAAGTCTCCATTTGCACTCCACTGAATCTCAGTTGTGTCTATGAGAAACAATTGAAATATTAAAGAGACATTTTTTAGTTTTGTTTTTATGGGAGTGCTTAAGGGGCAGTCTGATCCAAACACTAGATGATACAAAATATGAACATATGCTAATTCTCTCTCTCTTTCTCTCCATCACCATACAGCCTGTGGTCGTGGATTCTACAAGTCTTCATCTCAGGATCTTCAGTGTTCCCGTTGTCCTGCGCACAGTTATAATGACAGAGAGGGCTCATGGAGATGTGACTGCGAAGACGGCTATTACAGAGCCCTCTCCGACCCCCCTTCAGTCGCCTGCACTAGTGAGTGAGCTGTTTGTGAATCTCTGGTCTTCTTCCTTTTCCCTCCTTCCCTTATGTATATGTCTTTATATCTGCAAACTGGTGTATCTCATTCCCATTTCATGTCAGATGAGATTTTAATTACCAGAGGCACCAGGCACCTCTGTATTTTAGGGGCAGTCATGGCCTAATGTTTAGAGAGTCTGACTTGCAACCCAAAGGTCGTGGGTTTGAGTCTCGGTACCGGCAGGGATTGTAGGTGGAGGGAGGGAATGGCCAGCGCTCTCTTCCACCCTCAATAACACGAATGAGGTGAGACCCTTGAGCAAGGCACCGAACTCCCAACTGCTCCACGGGCGCCACAAGAAAAAGGGCTGCCCACTGCTCCGGGTGTGTGTTCACTGTGTGTGTGTTTGTTCACTACTCACTGCTGTGTGTGTGCACTTGGATGGGTTAAATGCAGAGAGCACAAATTACAAGTATGTGACACCATACTTGGCCACACATCACGTCACTTTCATTTTGAGGTGCACTGTGGCAGTCCTGGCACACTTGGCACCCAAGGCAAAATAAGGAGAAACAAAAACATGTTTTAACTGCTGAGTAGTTTTTACTTAATTTAAGTATCAGACATGATAGTCCAGTCTCACAGCTTACAATAGTAAAATCAACTTAGCTCAAAAATCTGAGTAGGCAGGTGTTTGTATTCAGTTTGAATAGGCATAATGATTCCGTTAATTACAGTCGGAACTAACGGAAGCAGGTCTCAGCAGTTCTTTCCTCTCCCCTCCCTTCTAATAACCACCTGTCCTCTTCTTTCCTCTCCTCGGCCATCTCTCTTTTTGAATAGCACAGCTATTCCAAAGCTATTGATGACTTATTTACATAGGCCAGACAAGGGTGAAGAGAGGCAGGGAGGGAGTTCAGGGCGAGTCGATCTACCTGGAAATATGCTCAAGGACAGGTTCAATCAGGTAGAATGTGCTTCACTTCCTGAAGACAAAGAGATGGAGGGAGTGCATTAAAGCAAGGATTAGGGCTGTACGATATTTGAAGAAAAGAAAAAAACTTTTATTGTAAGTTATTTTGACAAACATTGTGAATTGAGCTGTAGTATTATGAACCTTAATCATATCATAAAGACACTGCTTAGATATTGAGGCAGAAGGACAAAAAGCCATAAAATGACATTGAAACAAAAATTACAAACATTATAACAGGCGCTTTTGACAAAGAAGTAAGTAAGTTATATGTTGCCCACACTCTGCTGCCCATAGTAACACAGTTACTTTTTACAATTATTTATTTATTGGTATATTATATTATATTATATTATTGTAATATAATATTGTCTATTTATTATTATTATTATTATCTATATTATCTGAGTCACATCTTGAGTAGCTTTTGTGTTTTAATCATCGCACAAAGGCATATGGTGGTGATTTTAATTTGGTTAATTGTGCTATGATGCTACAATAGACAACAAAGAATGACTAATGAATTTGTGTAGATGAGAGAAACATATTAGACCCTAGCTGTGCTGTTGTGGATCAGGGCAAATGTGCAGATGACACATATGTCATGCATTAATCATTCAACTACACTTTACCTCTACAGTACTTTCCACTCTGTATTCACCCTCATTTCTTCTTTCTTCTTTATTCCATTCCATTACAGTAATTCCCCAACATTTGTCTCACCATTACCTTCCAAAAGAGATGATCACACTAAAACACGATAGTCTAATTGTTGCCCATTGCCCCCCTCAATCAGAGAACAGAGAAAACACAGGCCTCGAATTCACCACACAATTACTTTCGTCGCCTCAGCCTTTCTCTTTCTCTTTCCCTCCAAATACACATCAGATCTGTTACTCGCCTGACCACTGTCTTGCTGTTGTTACTCTGTCTGGGCATGAAAACGTTGCTGAAAAATGCACATAGAATGCAGGCATTAAGAGTAATCTAGTTTCTCTCTATGGCTTCCAGGTAAATTAATGGTGAAGTCATGCATGAGTTGTACAATGTGGAAATGCAGTTAAGAAGATGACACAGGCCCTTAAAGGTGATGCATAAGTATGCATGAGAGATACTATAGAGATGATACACACCTCAGCTTTTTTTTTTTGAGAGAGAGAAATTAACACTTTTTTTCACAAAGAACATAAATTTTTCTTGAGCACTAAATCAGCATATGTGAATGATTTCTGAATGATCATGTAACACTAAAGATTGGAGTAATAGTTGCTGAAAATTCAGCTTAGCAATCACAGGAATAAATTACATTTTAAAATATATTCAAATAGAAAAATATTTATTTTTTTGTAATTATATTTTACAGTATTACTGTTTTTACTGTATGTTTGATCAAATAAATGTAACAACATTAAAACATTTTTACCAAACCTTTGGACAGTAGTGTAGAATGACAGTAATATATGTAGACGATACCATGCATCGTTAAATCAAAAAGATATAATGTTAAAGAAGAAATCCACAAAGAATTAAGTGAGGATTCTAAATCACGGTGAGTCATAAAGGATGTGGCAGGAGTTTGAGATAATAAGGATGTGACAGGAGGGGAAAAAATGCAAATCAAGGGGGTAAAACAAAAAACTTTTAACAAACATAAATCGCGTCTCTTTTGAAGTGTTGAGCATTCAAAATACTGTCCTCACCAGACTTGTCTTAATTATCTCGGGATTAAGTTATTGTGACCATCTGAATTGTCTGGGCTCCAGAGTTCTTCTTTTTTTGGGGGGAATTTAAAGCCACATGGAACTGAATGGTAATTGGGGGTGAATTTACATTCGCTGAATAAACACCCTGATGGACAGTTTTTTAAATGAGCGAGGTGTAAACCTACCGAATCTTAAGCTCTGTCAATACGCACTTAGCTCCTCGGAACGCGGATTAAGAGCGGCCTTAATGAAATTCAGATTTCCAGAGTGAAAGGAATTAATATTCACTTGAAGAAAGGTCTGTCATTGTTGAAAGGAAGAAAAAAGTTTTTTTAAATATTCACTTATTTGAGTTTTTAGCTACAGCACAAAATAATCCCAATAGCATAGCATAAATTCACCCGGTTTACCACAACCTGTGAGGTGTCAAGATAAATGGGCGATACTTAGGAGAGCCTGCTGCGTACGAGATAATTTTTTTTTCTTTTTAGATAGAACGAAAGAGGGGAGTTCTTGACAGCTTTCAGAGATGACATCAATCACTCGACAGCTGCGCGTGGTGTCGGCACTAGCGAAGGTCTGGAATGGGCGGTAGGAGGGTGGGACTTTGTGACAGAGAGAAAAAGAGGAAAAGGGAGAGCGGGAGACATTAAAAAAGTGAGAAAGTAAGTAAGAGAAAGAGATAAAGCGAGAGCGCATAACCTACATACTCTCTTTTCAGCTCTCTTCAACCCCATGGAATCATCACTTCTATTCGTTGACGTGTCCCTGAGGGTGAGACTTTCTTTTTCCCACAGTTGCTAAGGGACAGGAGTACAGTAATTAAACCAGCCTCTCTCGGCCATCTCTCTCTAGCTCCATCCCTCAATCCTTGGTGCTTGGTACAAGTGAGGCCAAAATTCAGGCACCATGTTTGTAGATTAAGGATTAGTGGCTGGACTGTTTAAACACGGTTCACAAGTTGCGGCCCTCTGGGACACTCATTAGAGTGGTGAGTCTTAAAGGGATAGTCACTCAAACATGAAAATTTACTAATTTACTCATTTACTCACCCTCATGTCATTCCAAACCAGCATGACTTTCTTTCTTCTGTGGCAAAAAGCATTATAAATACAACCTGTAGTACTATATTCTATATACACTACCTTTTACATTGTTTACATTGTTTTATAAAAATAATATAATGTATTTTAAATAAATGCTGGTCTTTTGAAGGTTAAATTCATCAAAGTATCCTGAAAAATTATCACGATTTCCACAAAAAATATTAAGCAGAACTGTTTTTAACATTGCTAATAATAAGAAATGTTGCTTGAGCAGCAAATCAGCATATTAGAATGATTTCTGAAAGATCATGTGACACTGAAGACTAGAGTAATAGCTGTTGAAAATTCAGCTTTGCCATCACAGTAATAAATTAATTTAATTACATTTCACAATATATTCAAATAGAACAATTATTTTAAATTGAAGTAATATGTCACAGTATTGCTGTTTTTACTGTCTTTTTGATCAAATAAATGCAATAAAAAACAACAACAAAAACAGTACAATATAATTTGAACAAAAGAACATATGCTATGATATCTTTTGTGTAAAAAGCAGACCAAAATTTAAGTAATTATTCACTTCAAAATTGACTACAAAAAATATATAGTCAACAAAAATGTTACGTGAAAGCCATTAACTTTCATTAAATTGAAAATATGATATTTCTAAAATTCACCTTGTGTGTTCCAGAGAAAAAAATAAAATCACACAGGAGTGAAACGGCTTGATGGGGAGTAAATTACAAGATTTTGGGGTGAGTTCTCCTTTACTAGGAGGAGTACCACTAAGACAGTCAAGAGCTGCTCAATGTGCAGATAACAACTGGATTCCTGAGCTAAGCTCCAGTGCTGCTTGGCCTGAGACTTTAGGCTTCACATACACACGCACACATACACACTCAATCAGCAGGTTGACCTAATTAACATTCTCTCGCAGGAAAACAGCAAGGGTAAGAATCGTGACCACATTTTCCTGATCTCAAAGATGATTTTATTATCTTTTTTCACATTAATTATCTCACTTTTTGGATTGAAAGGATATTCAGCTCCTTTACTTATTAAAAATCACTGTTAGAAATGTGGCACTTAATCTAATCTGCCAGACTTTTGAATAAAGGCTTAAAGTTTGGTCCACATTGCAGCTCATTCTGGCCAAGAACTGCCTACTTGGACAGGGAAAGACCTGCATATAAAGCGATCATTCACATTTTTTGTTTTTACATGCCATTTAAGGGCGGGTTTATCCGAAATAGATTATACCACAACAATAGACCGTTGTGGAAAAAATCATTCAAATGGCACGGCCCTTTCCGTGAACGACTGTACTGAAAACACAGGAAAAAATAGAAGTTAGCAGTTTTGTTTATAATCTTCATCAGATACTCCGTGAACAGACTGTGGGAGGTTTGAGTCTAAACAATCAATAAAGTGTGGGTTTAAAAACATACTTTAAAAGAAGGTTGAAGGGGAAAGCAAAAAAGACCGAGTGTGAAAGAGCGTTCCCAGGCTTTAAGCAAACTCTATACCCATTAAAAGAATAGTTTGGTTTGTGGTGTAGAGAATCAAGCGCTCTGTGGCAGATATTTGTCCCAGTTTCCCCCAGACTTCCTCCAGCGTCCCTGCAGAATCAGTCTCAAAGCAGACTGCAGAGGAGGTGACAGATTACATATATAGAAACACATATGCACTTGTGTGTGAAAGAGCAAATGAGAGCAGTAAACTCGGGACAGCATTTTTTGTTAACCAGCAGACGATGACACTCTCAACAGTGTACGAAAAAAGACCACAACAGGACTCTCCAGACACCAGATATACGCTTAATAGGAAGGTCTTGCTTCAGCCGCTTTCACTTTATACTCATTGTTTTCACTCTGTACTCCAAAAAAAGAAAATAAAATTAGAAGAAAATTGTTTCATGAATGTCAAATGTTCTATTATGATTCCATGTATACAAAGAGATGAATTGTACTGTTTTAATCATAATATTAAAAAAAAATAACATTATACATTTGCAATATGCATTTACAATAGAGAAATATCTATTGCATTCTAAAACTCGAATGAATTGGTTCTAGATCATCTGGCGTGGTGCCTTGTAAGCCGTTTGAAACCAATTTCCCTTGAAGCTACCGTGACTTCATACAGAAACATTGTGCATTAAGTGATTGACGGACTGGGCAGTTTCGTACAAAGCCTCAAATTATGAAATTAGAACAACATCATGGGTTGTAATTGGATTACAGCAGAGATGGGTACTCGAGTTAGTGACTCGGACTCGAGTCGCATTTTATTAGACTTCAGACTCGACTCAACAAGAAGGACCTGTGAATATTTCTCATTTTAATAACTCTAGTCTTTTTTCCTTAACTACTGATATCATAAAGCAAGAACTTGGAATTCACTTACATGCTTTTACTATATCTATGATCTCACATTTGGTTATATTAGTGTGTCAGAATCAGGAACTTCATGAAGATCGGTTAGATGCAGTGAATGTGGGAAAACAATTCAAGATACCGGAATGACTGCATCAAATCCTAGAACGTATCACGTCTTAAAACACATCCACAAAGGTTAGCAACATTATCTTTTTAAGTGGGAGAACTTGCACAGTTGGTGGCTGACTAAATACTTTTTTGCCCCACTGTATATGCTGCAGTGTGTCCTGTTAAAAACATGAACGAAAAAGCTTGCCTTAAACCGAGCACAACATTTTATCATTCTTTTCATATTTCAATACTTATTTTTTAAAAACTATTTATGTCCATCTAGTATCATTATTTATGCTATGTTGAATCAAAATATTTCTTTCTAAAGCTACATTTTGTAATGTCTAGCCAATGCTTTACTCATCAAACACAGTGTTTATAAATTATATTTTGGTGGGCATATTCTCTGCTAAAATTGATGTGTGATTAATTTGTGATTAATTAGATCTAGAATTAGATTAGCATCTAGTGGCTTCATCATGGTGTAACAGATGATTTTGAATATGAACAGACTTCTTCAAATGAATAATTTTTACAAGTATTTATGTATCTTGAATTGACTCTATGTACAGGTAGAGGAAGGCAATTTGAGCTAGAATCTTAATAGTATCCCTGGAACATATTTTGTCTTTAAAATACAACCTGGTAAATAGGATTATTAATGATGAGAATTTATTTTCAACAATTAATGAAATGACTCCAGACTCGACTCGGACTCGTGATGAAAGACTCCAGACTTGACTCTGAATCCAGCTTAAAGTCTTCAGACTTGACTCGGACTTCAGATGAAAGACTTGTGGACATGCCTGGATTACAGTGATTTTATTTAACATTTTGCGAGAATTAAATCAATAGGACCTCTCCATGGTGGTCATTGAATAGTGATTCATCTCAGTGCTACCTTGTCGCTTGAATAGATATGCTCAATCACAGCTTGACTTCAGACCCTTCCTGTCTCAGCTGTCCATATAAAGATAAACAATCCCTTGATCTCTTCCACTCAAGAGCAGAATGAGAAGGCCCTGCCAAATGGAGCCAATTAGTGTTATTATTATTATTCTTATAGGTAACCATAGAAATAGAATGCTAAAGTCCCTGGAGGATGAGTCTCCCTGTGTGTTTGTTGCGACTCTCCCCGAGGGGAGTGGAGTAGGAGGGAAATCATTAGCATCAGTAGGTGAAGTTGTGCTTGGAGCTTGAGAGATGGATGCAGAGAAGAGAGAGATGGAGAGACAGACCACATCTCTTCACCTGCCACAGGTGGCCCTTTCATCTCCTCCGTTCACTCGTTCCCCTCCTACTTTGATGAATATGGATGGATGTGTGTGCCATTAGCTTTAATGAGGAGTAAACTTTAAGTGTCATATTAACCATTCGCACAATTCTAATGCTTGCTCTTTCCCCTCATGCATATGTAGCAATTGTTTTGTTAGTAAATGTCCCCAGTTTTGCAGACTGGCTGCACTTGTGACACGACTCAAGGGGGCGTTTACACTGGCAGTGTTTTGTAGTGACAAAACGACCCCGACATCACTTAAAAATTTACAATTGCAAACTTTATTTCAGAATGCCCAAAGTATACTACACAATATAGACAGCATATGCAAAATATACTGGTACCATATTATTTATCAGTTCATATTAGAGATACAGTATTTAATTTATCGGTTTCGGATGATACTTTACACTTACTTGTTCATACTCAATTACACTCTTTTTTACATTTAAATTACCTTTGCCATCCTCTAACACTCACTTAAAGTCTTTAAATGAATTATTTTAAAACAATCATTATTAAAAATATCCATTATATTTTAGTTATTTTTATTTGTTAATTGTATTTATTAATATATTATAAATTTATTTAGTCAAAATAGTATAGAAGTTTGATATTGTCCATTTCGATAATTTATCAAATCTATCAAAAATGATAGCTTTTAGTTATAATATTTAGTTTTTATGTAAACAAAACAGTATAGTTTTAATATTGCCCAAAGCTGGCAAATGGCATGTGAAATCTAATTATTATATATTAATGCTGTCATTTAAATATTGAAATTCCACAACTATCATCAGTTTTTGTTGACAATTTATACAAATGCAACAGTAAAAAAAAAAAAAAAAAAAAAGTAAACGCTCACCAGTTTCTCTGTTGTCAATCCCACAATCCCTCTCGCGAGCCTGTTGCTCAGCTCCCCTAGAAAACAGATTGAAAACGCCTATTCAGCTCCACACCAGTGGACATGTACGGGTCATCATTTCACTTTGAGGTACAAAAATCGAACCTCTCCAAAATGGCAAACCCATGATGCAAGACCATCACAAAGACAAGTTCTAATAAAAGAGATATTGAACAGGCAGCGGTGCTGTTATAAAAACATTAGGGTGATAAAAGCAAGGGCTTGGTGGTTGGATAAAAGTAGCAAAGTATAAATCATTGCTTTATGAGACGTGCCAGATTCCTTGGCACTAGCGGGGATTAGGGGATGATGGGTTGTTTTCCACTGTGGTCATCCGTCTGTGAGCTGGTTATTGTAGGCTGAGCGGAATCCTGCTCTGTTGCTATTGTCAGGGCGATAACTCGCTCATGACTCTTAAATTCTGGAAGTGACTCAGGCTCCCTGTCTTCCATGGCTTAGACTTCCTGTCACCTTGGCAATCAAAAAAAATTGTTTTGCCAATTTTATCACCTCTTTTCTTTCCACGGGCAACTCATAACTCTCTGGCTCAGTAATTAAATGCTACCAAGTAGATGAGTACCAAGTAGGAGGAAGACGGTCTTATCTCAAGATTTTCTGCCTTGAAACAGTATCTCATTGTTCTCAATTTCATTGTTTTGCTACATCCCTGTTCTACATCGACCTTGGCAGTGCTCAAGTTCAACTCCCCAGCATTCTTGAGTATAGCATCTCTATGTATCTAGGTTACAGTATAATTGCATGTCAGGATTTGCCAAGGGCCCAAATTTCTCATATTTCCATGGTGTTTTTGTCTTGAGAAAAGAAAGAGGAAAAATCTAGAGTGCTATTAAATATAAGTTACATGTTTATCTAAGCATCCCCCTCTTTTCTTACTACAGGGCCACCGTCAGCTCCTCAGAACCTGCTTTACAACATCAACCACACCACCGTCAGCCTAGAGTGGACCCCGCCAGCCGACACAGGTGGCCGTAACGACGTGACGTACCGGATTATATGCCGCCGCTGCACCTGGGAGCCAGAAGAGTGCTTTCCTTGCGGGAGCAACGTTGGCTACTTGCCCCAGCAGAGTGGATTAATGGACACCTACGTCACCATCGCCGACCTGTTAGCTCATGCAAACTACACCTTTGAGGTTGAGGCCGTGAATGGCGTGTCCGACCTTAGCCGTACCCAGCGACTGTTTGCAGCCGTCAGCATCGCAACCAGCCAAGCAGGTAAGAGGTTTGCACTTCTGTGTCAATTCGACTGCAGATCTAGCAGGTTTATAGATGCATACAACCAAATCTGGATTTTAAATATGTATATTTGCAGCATTTTGTTTTTTGACTCCATTGTGTTGTGCTTTGGATGCATTTTTTACGCTATAAGGAAGTTCTGGTGTTTTTCGTGTTGCTTGGTTGCAAGCCTGTATAATCTCAAGCCTGTATCATTTCCGACTGCTGCATTCACGTTTCTGTACTTACTGCCATTGGGATAATTTAACAAATTATCTGACAACCGTTTTCCTGCATTTCATAAATTGTGATTTTCTGGCGACAATACAGTGGTGAACAGCAACAGATGATAAATGATAAATAATAGAAGTCACGCACAAGAATACCTCTCCCGTTTCCCCTTTAGTTTTTTATTGTCTGCTAGAAGAACCACTACCTTTAAATATCACTACAGTCGCCATGGTTGACATTTCCTCCAGACTCTGTTGAATTCTTGATAAATTATTTGAGCTTTCACTTTATCCCCTGAAATTAAATGGGTGGCAAATGCTTGCATTGGTGCTGAAGTCATGGCCGCAAACATTATTAGCTCGACGAGGGATTGCCTGTCTTTGGCTCTCCCTATTCTCTCATGCTCACTCTCTCGGGAGCTGGCCATCATTTAAGAGCTGTTTCTGAGACTGCACATGCTAGAGAAATGCATGTGTTTTAATGAGCTATTTTTTATGGATCTGCAAAACAAGATTTCTCTTTCATGCCCAAGCATCCATGAAATACAATTTGCCTTCAAATGCATACTGGTTCTGGTCATTAACAAGAGGTTAGTAGACAGTGATAGCTTAGCACCACACTTCAGCAACTAGTGCATAGACTGTGTTGTTGTATATGCACACATACAAACTAATGCAGTATTTGACTGTTTTGTTGTGAGGCTTTGTTGTTTGGAAAATATATCTGGAGGTTAGTAGACAGTGATAGCTTAGCACCACACTTCAGCAACTAGTGCATAGACTGTGTTGTTGTACATGCACACATACAAACTAATACAGTATTTGACTGTTTTGTTGTGAGGCTTTGTTGTTTGGAAAATATATCTAAATTGGTGGCTGACTAAATACTTTTTTGCCCCACTGTATATGTTGAGAAAAAAAGATCACACACACACACACACACACACACAAACACATGTAGGCATATATACTATTAGTGATGCGCGGATGGCGGTTTTATCCACGGGCGCTGCGGATAATCCGCGGATCGGGTGGGTCGGGTAATAAAAAAATGCATTCTGATTATTTGCGGGTGGGTCGCGGGTGGATAAAATAAATCATTAATGATGCAAGTATTAACTAAATTTTCTAAATTATGAACGTGTTTTAAATAGGCTACAGAAATTTAATAAACTGTAAATTAACATTAGAAGTTATTCAACAAAATATTATTTAGTCAAGAAGAGTAAGGGATTTTCTGTCTTTTGTTGTTTGATTAACATTAATAAAAGACGGCACAGCTTTATTAGGTTGCTATCACGAGACCTATTTCACGGATCCAATACTGATACCCATGCGTTTTATTTTGCAACTGTTTACATTAACTTAAGACAAAACCGACAGTACTTTCTCAATTTGGTACTCGCAGCGCATGCTTTGGATGTGACTGAGCGCACGTGCCTCTGGAGAGCGTGAGTACCGAATGGCTTAAAAAGACGTGAAAATAATACATTTACACGCTATATTGAATAAAGGTTTTGCAGTAATTTCCCTCATTTTAAAGTCGAAAGCTGTGGGAATGAGTAATGCGATGTATGCTCAATCCCGCAACGAAATTCAGGATCTGATTAAACATAATTCTATTATACAGAGACTTGTGAAATAGATTTTCATGACTTTTCAAAAACATTTTGAGTTTATTTATTTTTACAAAACTTTCTAGGCCTGGAAATTGCTGTTCAATGACTTTTCCAGGTTTTTCATGACCGTACGAACCCTAATGTGATGATCGGGTGCGGGTCGGGTGCGGTTATCTAAATCAGACAAAAATACAGGTGCGGGCGGGTGGCGGGTGGATAATTTATTTGAAGCTGCGGATTCGGGTGACGTTTTAGCTCATCCGCGCATCACAATATACTATATATAATATATATATATATATAATCTTTTTTCTTTTGCTAATCATTATAATCATTTATCTAGGCATACATGTTGACTAGTTTATCTAGATTTTTTTTAAAGTTTTATATATATATATATATATATATATATATATATATATATATATATGCAGTCTATTTTTCTCTTTATCTAGATTATTATATTTTATTCTTATCTAGACACTACGTAAAGCACCACCGCTAAGGTCTTTAAGAAAGATATTTTTGGGTGTTGCATCGCACCTTGAGAATCCTGCTTCCTGTTCCATTCTGTTGTGCTTAGTTCAGCTGTTTTTGAATGCAGGAACGTGTTTTATGTAAACACTGTAAAATAAATACAAAAAAGGTTATTTTTAATCTAGACCAATTAGTCATCCAGTCATTCAGGTAACTTACAGACTCGTTGATTCTGAGAGTGTGTAGTTTTGTACAGCCCTAGTGTTTCACCACCTGCATTCAAAACTTCTCAAAAGTTCTCATTTGCATTCTTGTTGTTTTTATGGTTTGCAAACAAAACAAGGTCAGTGACAGGATAACACAAGCAGCTCATGCATGCACGTGTTCACAGAGAGATGAGGGAAGAGACAGAGGGAGAGGCGATAATGACCAGCAGGCAGTAAAATGAGAGAGGAACGGAGCCGAGGAGGAAGGGGAGAGGGGATGATGTATGTTTCATGACTGGGATCGTGACAGAGACACTCGCTGGAGTAAGGAGCCACAAGGACACACGGACACCTTGGTAGGTTAGGAGCGGGTGAGAGAGAGAGAAAGCAAGATAAGGGACAGCGAGAGGGGGGAAAAGACCCTCGTCTCAAAGTGAGAGTCGTGCGTAATTATGTCTGGCATACTGACAACAGACAATTACACCAGCAACCCTGGGCAATATTTAGTCATTAGTTATTGTCAGATTGAGAAAATGTATTAGTAAAGTCGTGTTTTCTGTAGCGGCAGTATTACCAGTTTTGTTTTCATGTGTTTCAAACTACAGAGTAGGCCATGGAGAATAAAGAAATGGTGTACAGAATAAAAATTTCCTATTTGAATGTGAATAGATTCTAGCTAGGAATGGGTCTCTATGGTTGACAATTCAACTAGTCTTCCACAATGAGAGGTTAGTCATTTACTGAGGTTGACTAATTTTTGATTAAGATTAATTTTTCTTTTAGTTTTGATATTTTTATTAGCAACAGAATTTAAAGCTGCAGTCCGTAACATTTTTGGGTTAAAAATGATCCGAAATCAATATTTGAGCAAGTACATAACACGCCAGTGTTCAAAACTACCGCCTTACTTTAGCCCGATTCACAACGGTTAGCTTATAATAATGTTTTCTAATTTGAGTGGTACGGGTAGGTTTTCGCGGGACATTCGAGCATGGCACTGCGTCATTACGTCACGTCTGTAAACATAAAGAAATTGTCCCGGCTACTAGACTATCGCATGTGAGGATCCTGCAGGTGGAGGATCGCTTATAGCCTTTTCTCACAGCAGCCAGAATAATTAAATGTATAATTTTGATGGCAGATTATAATCCAGAAAGGATTATGTGTTTATGAAACACGTGAATGAAATTAAATTATATTCCAGTTATAAATGTGCTTCTGATTACAGATAGCCTGTGATTACAAAGATTTGTATTTTAAAGAAAACCAGTTCGAAGGGAGCATAATTTGCTTTTTTGGGTTAAAATAATTTCTTAGTATGAAATTCGAAGAGTATTACAATTAGATTAGACTGTGCAGAAATTGAATCTACACTACTCATAGTCACCAATGCTGATGTTGTTAACATTAATCATTTGAGAATAAAGTATAACAATAATAATAATTTGAACGGTTTGATGTGATATGAGCTAACCGATCTTTAGATTTAATCACCATTGGTAGCCAGATTTATGGTAATGCTGTTTTTCTCAGTTGGTCAGAACAAACATGGCAGACTTGTTACTTACTTGTTCAGATGGCAATATACGGTGAAAATTCTTATTTGGGTCATATATTCCAAGACGTAGGCTAGAATCTGTGATTGCGAAGTACACTAAATATCCACACCGGTGTGGTGACTGACTGCCACACATACTCTTCAGAACATTAGATTCATCCGCGCTGGAGCCACTCCCACTCACAACCCACGCAAGCTAGATAATTCCGCACACAGCTGCAATTCCAGGTTTTCAAACAGAGATGGCGACAAAGAGGCAAAATTTACGCAGCTTTAAATTAACATTTTATTTATTTATTTTTTAATTTTTATTTATTTATTGATTTGACGGTTTGATGTGATATGAGCTAACCGATCTTTAGATTTAATCACCATTGGTAGCCAGATTTATGGTAATGCTGTTTTTCTCAGTTGGTCAGAACAAACATGGCAGACTTGTTACTTACTTGTTCAGATGGCAATATACGGTGAAAATTCTTATTTGGGTCATATATTCCAAGACGTAGGCTAGAATCTGTGATTGCGAAGTACACTAAATATCCACACCGGTGTGGTGACTGACTGCCACACATACTCTTCAGAACATTAGATTCATCCGCGCTGGAGCCACTCCCACTCACAACCCACGCAAGCTAGATAATTCCGCACACAGCTGCAATTCCAGGTTTTCAAACAGAGATGGCGACAAAGAGGCAAAATTTACGGACTGCAGCTTTAAATTAACATTTTATTTATTTATTTTTTAATTTTTATTTATTTATTGATTTTTTGCACTTCATTCAGCTGATTTTGAACATGGGAATCCATCCTCTAAGAAATGCGTCTGATTGTGGTCAGGCAAATATGTCTAATTATACAGGACTACCAAAATAACGAATCAACTGCACGTCCTTGATTCTAGCTTTGCCCA